GCATTAACATAACAGAGGACTGATCCCGTTCTGTGTGATAGATCTGATGATCGTCTGCGTACATAGACAAGTTAGTTGTTACACTGTATGACAAATCGTTCGGGAATATATTCCAAAGTAAGGGACCTAGAGCAGATCCCTGTGGACAGCCTCGGTTAACAGTCCTACTTGAGCTGACAAGGTCCCCCGGTAATTGCGATCACACAGATAACTCTCCAGAAGCCGAACTGTACTGCTCTCAAAGCCATAGGCGCTGAGCTTACTCAATAGTAGTGGTGGATGGAGTGAATCAAACGCTTTTGACATGTCAGTTAACAGCAAGCTCACAACCAGTTTCTCATCTCTTGCATGTCTCCAACCCTCCACTAGGTGAATCAGAGTTGTCTCATAACTATCTCCTCTGCGGTAAGCCGATGAGTTAACATACGTACAATCTTCAGAGCTGGTAGAGACCGGTGCCCCTATTAGTTGTTCGAAAACTTTGTTAACACACGGTAAGACAGTTATAGGGCGGTAGTTTTCCTTGGAGTGCTCATCATCCTTTTTGTAAACTGGAGTCCAGACTGCATGCTTCCAATCTCTTGGCCAGAAATAGTTACGTATACACCTATTTCAACTAAGGTTGCTTCGGCGAAGAATGATTCATGATGCATGATCCATGTTTCATAGCCTGCAGTGCATTGTGGTAGATCTCTTTGTAGGCGGGAAGTTTAACTTCATGTATTCCTGTGCGCAGTGACCCGCGAAATGGAGGCAGTAAACATCTGTCTCAAAATCCTAACGGAAAATAAGAAAGCAGTGAAAGAAAGTTTCCAGTTAAAACAAATTCCAAAATTTGCAAGTGCTGTTTAGCTAAAGAATTATAGCGGAGCTCCCGCGTGCGCAGCGGAGCACCATGGGTAAGAAAATTTGGTAAACTATCCATCCGAGAAAATTTGGTTATGACGTAGCGTACGCCCACCCGTACACACACTTCATGTAAGCGGATGTCAAATGTCACAATAGATCTTGCACAACTCGACTAGCCTCTTAGTTATGTAAGCCATCCGTATGAGTATGATTAGATTGACAGCCGTCAAAATCAGACATCCGCTGACCATTATCACATGACGGTCTCGTGGGCTCAGATAAAAGACCAGTCGTTTTGCCGCTATATATAACCTGATATAATGTCACACTCACCAATTCAACATAAAAACGAAACTACGCCGGGCAAGGCTGTCAGTTAGCTGACAGTTGTTTAAAGTTACATTGGCAAGCCAAATTAAGGTCAATTGACAGCTTTCAAAATGGGACATGTGCAGACCACTATCGGAAAACTAATAACAGGGGCTCAGGTTTGCTCAGGTACACGATCTGGCATTATCCACTACGTGCCGGACGGAAATGTCCTACTCACACTCGTAGTCTGTTAATTCGAATATTCGCCATTCTAATGAAGGTTAATTGACAGCTGTCAAACTAGAGTATACGCTGACCATCATCACCTGAGTGGATCGCGGGCTCATTTTTCTATCTATTGAGGTCACGTAGTGTTTAAAGTTTCGCGCTGATATTTTATTTGATCACGGGCTCATTTCGACGCCCCATAGCTTTATAGAAAATCTATCCATCCTAGAAAATTCGGCAATCACGTGACCGTACACCGACCACCCGACCTCCCGTTCATCCGCACCACAGGCATACCAATGTTTAATCTCACACTTTCTAGCTAGTTTGGGAGTCTGCAACCTGATATTGTACATCCATGTTTTGATTAATTGACAGCTGTCAAAACAGTGTTTCTGCTGACCAGTATCGCCTGACCGTATCGCGGGCTCAGGTATCGACCCTCTGAGTTCGAGTAATATTTTGAAGGTATCCACTGACAAGTTGCTACTTTTCAAATGATCACAGGCTCGAGTTCAATTTTTTTAAAATGCATATGAAATAGCTCGTGTTTCATAAGCCGCACTTTTAAAATGTTGATTTCAAACTGATCTCGGACACGAAAATTCAACCGGCTTTTACATTTACATGCAGGGAAGGCAATCGCTTTTGACTTTTCTCACTGTCATGCGTTGATCACGCTCTACGTCCAATCTTCATGTTCTGATTTGTCAAAATTTGTCAGGTGAGTTTATGCGGAAAATTTATGCAGCGTCTAGAAACTTGCTTACTGATAGCTGGAGCTGAGAGAGTTTTGTGTCATCTTGTGATGTTTTAAACTGTCTTTTTCTACTTGGTGTACAAAATGAAATACAGCTGCTATCAAGATTGTTCTGTAATTCGTGGCTGGTTTGTTTATTACGCTTTTTGTTGACAAATGCACCGCTTGTCAAAGTCATTGGAAATCCGATTTCGGATGGCATCGTTTTCAAAAATGAGCTTACTCACTTTCCCTTGCTTGAGGCATAAGAGGGTTGAAAAGTCTCAAGCGATTCTGGAACACTTGATGACCTTCAGAAGCAGCATCTCCACTGGTAAGCCTGAGCCATTATTGTTTTTGATGTGTTTTTTTTTTGGGTTTCCTGAAGTCGAGCGTATGGTTTATGTGGCTTAAGTTAAAACACGAGCAATGATCTAACCTACAATAGTATCAGGTTTAAAAAGCCTTTAGACATTTTTTGACCCGCAAATTCAAAGAAAAGGTTTCGAAGATTATTTAGTTATGATTTTGGCTGTAAACAGAAAGCTCTGAGCGATTTTATTGCCTTGAGTTCATCTTGAAAAAGAGTGAACACCGGGAAGCCGGCTTAAAACATAAACAAGCTTATGCTTGCCTGACTCATGATTTTCTGAGACACTTTAATCTCAATACTTCTCTTCGTGAACCCCATTTTCGTCCAATACGTTAAAAAACAACAACACCAACAAAGAATTGAAAGACTTTTTATTGTCATAGTGGCAGATTTCAACAGCTAGCCCCGCTTTGCTGAAACACTTATTCAGAGATTTCTAGCTTCGACGCAAGTACGTTGAAGTCGTATTTTAGGGAGGCAAATCTTACGTCACTTTCTCTTTTGTGCAAGGCTTTTTGGGCTAGAAGTTTACTGATTTGAACATCAATTGCCTTATTTCCAGTTCTCTTTTTCTCATTTTCTAGTCCTTTCAAACCAGTCTCAAGTTTATCATCTTGCCTCGCTTTACGAAAACTAAATAAATCTCTTAATTCCTGCATGAACAAATTTCGAAAGGTTGAAAAACTAAGTGACCCTTATTCTTTCTTCTTAAGCTGGTTGTCTCACAAATTCACCCCACATTTTCTTCATTGAAACGTTGGAGTTAAAACACTTTCTTCCATGGGTTCTCACAAGGCAATAATGGGATTCACACGCTTCGTGTGACAGAATAAAGTCAATAACTGTATGTCTTGTCTCTGGCAAAAGTCTCTGGGGAGTTGTTCTGCCTCGTTTGTGAAGCTCTATTGAAGGGCGCGCAAGGTCCATTTTTTAAAGTAAAAGTCGTATTTTGCTATCAGAGATCCCGTAATACTTCCTCAACGCCATTTTGCAGACAACTCCAAGCGTCGGGATGGTGTATGATACTTCACGTTTACCACTCGGCGTGACTCCACCTTTCATAAGCTTCAAAAAGATATAGTTCTGTTCGTTGTAGGTTTTCTGATAAAGCATGTTCCTTTGATCTCATATAACCACTTTCATATTACATGCTGGCCCCCTTCAAAATAAGCATCCGCTCTCCCGGCATGTTAGTAATAACTGATTAATGTTGTTAAATGCTGCATTTTTGTGTCTTTGAAATCTCTTTTTCTTTGTCACATAAATTTTTTTAAGCTTACTGCTACTTGCTTGTTTTCCTTTTTCCACTGAACTTCTATGTGGAGCACCTTCTTTGAAGGACTGCCATGGCTTTTTTGCATCAAATCTATACAACAGCCGAATCAAGTCTTTCTTGACAACGCTCGTTGAGATTGAAACTTCCTGTGACTGCTGACTCATGGTTCATATAAAGCATTGATAACTTGAGAACGGCAGTTTTCTAAACTATATCTCTTTAATATTGTGTAATCACATGAGCAGTAGGTAGTGTAAATTTAGTGTTAAATGCTTTCGATTTCATAATTACATGTAAGATAAGAAAGCATGATAACTGACGCATCAACGCAATTTCATAACCAACAATTAAACAAAATTAAAATCTTAAGAGTTTTACCAGGGGGTTTTACACGTATTGTAACATTCCATATCATGGCCAGAAATTAACAAAGAGGACAGGACCTTTTAGTAAATAATCGACTACTGGTACTAGTGTCTAATTTAATAAGGATAAGCAAACCGTCTTGTAGGGCTAAAAGATTTTACCAACACCTGCCTGGCTTTGGATTTATACTTCATTTCAGTTCGTTTCCTCGCACTTATAAGTTTATCATTTAAAGCTTTATCTTCAGTGAAACTAAAACAGATAGAGGATCGGAAAGCATGATAACTGACGCATCAACAGGGCACAGATTACAACATTTTGCCCACGATGTTGAGTCGTTATTAAATCACTCGTGAAACGTGTCTATGGTTGCATCCTCTTTTGTCAGTGATTGCCAAATAGCAGTACTGAAATATACTGAAATAGCAATAACCGAAATTAGACTCAAAATTAAAATCTTAGGGTTTTACCACGGGGTTTTACACGCGTTGTAGCATTAAGCAACCTTTCATATCTTCTAAATGCAATTTCCTATTTCTAATACATAATTCAGAAATAAATAGACGCCAGGTATCATTTAGAATCATTTTGAAGTAACAAACTGACAAGTGCGTTTTACCGAGCTCGTTGGAAAACCTTATATGTTTCCAAGAGTGCTTGTTGTACAAATGCATTATCATAAGGTTTTACCAACCCCGAAGGTAACTTCCCAGGACTGGTATTATTCAAGAAAGATGCGAACGCACCTCCGTGGAGTGTATGTTGCCAATTAAGACTGTCTGCACTGCTATCTCTACGATGACACTGTTGCTGGAGCAGGACCCAATGAAATAATTTCGTTGTTACATTGTACTCTGATGAAACTCACGGAACAGTACGGAACATTTGACCAGCTCATTGTTTGGACAGATACCGCACCAAGTCAATTTAAAGAGTGTTTCTTTTTCTTTTACCTCGATCATCTTGTACAAAATAAATATTTTCCAAGAATCGACCTAAAATTTTTGCTAGAAGGACATAGCTACAGCACTTGTGATCATCGTTTTGCCTGCATACAACAGTTTTATGGTACTCAGGAAACAGTCGAAGTGCCACAAGAATGGGCTACACTTTTGAAAAACAGTGACTTAAAAAACATTAAGGTACATTGGGTCACTTCAGAATTAATAATGGATTATAAAAGTTTCTTAAAAATGCAGTACGTGAGCAGAAATGTTGAGACAGAGAGCAACACATTCGAAGTGAAAAAGATCGGGTGGATCAACTATGGATATGGAGAAGTAGCTGATGAGAAGGGTAACGAAACTTGTGAGACATGACGGCGCTTTCATACGATTCAAAGTAGATGCTATGGAAAAACCAACATTAGTTTCTTTCTGCAAGAAAAAGCAAGGTGTACAGCTAAAACCTGACGTGTTATCTCCTGTTAATCTAGATAAAAGACTTGTTCCCTTGAAAGTTAAACAAGATTGCAAAAAACTTGCTCAGAAATATTTGTCAAAGGCTGCATGACATTGCAGCATAAAACCTTTTAGCAGTGACGAGGATGCAACTGATGATTGATCTGCACGAGTGAAAGTGAATTTTGATTTTTACGTTTTTAAAAAAGCTACTGTATAACTTGTTAAAGCAAATGTATGTAAGTTTTTATTCTTCCAAGTTGCAAATAAATACAGTTGAATTTTACTGATAACTATTGAATAATTGCATATTCTATTCTGTTCCTTCCCTATGATCAACATGTGAAGACTATTGACATGATTGACATTATATTGACTAGAATCACAGAGATAGAGGAGCCGGAAAAGAAAAGAACAATTGAAAATTTTCATAAATTCTAAGAAAGCTCAAAGAAAAAAAGAGAGCACTCAATACGATAATGAGAACTGTAAAAAGAACTTTTTTTATGATCGTGACTTTTAAGCATCCGCAAGGCTGAAAGGACATTCTTCAGTTACGTTGAAATAATATTTACTTGATAATTTGAGACTATAAAGCACTACAAGACCCTCTGCGCTGTACAACCCTGGGTGCCAGGGATTTGTAATGGATGGTTTCCGGTTTCTTCGGTAAAACGTTCATAAGAACATGACCTTTGGTGAAGACTTTTGTCGTTCACGAGGAAACAGAGGATAAACCTTTGGTACCCAGGGTAGTGGGAAAATAGATACTGTACACGGGCTACTTACGAAAATTCAGCTTTCGTGTGATATGAAGAATTATGCATCGCGGTGTTGTCCTTCCTTTGCGTGTGCACGGTATCCTTTGGACATCTCGCCCCAGATGTTTTAAAGATGGATAGCACTATCAACCAGATAAATCTCTATCTAGCAGATAAGTACTAGAGGTAATCATGGAAACCAATTGCGTTATCCACTGAATAGAGATTTATTCATAGGTCATCACATAGCGCTACCCACCTTTTAAACAACTGGGGCCACGTTGAAATACTTATAGTTTGTCTGACTTGTGGTGCACACCAAGCACATCCGTATGCAATTTCCTTGCTATATTATTATCATTATTATTAGTATCATTATTATTAGTCATTACAGACATTTAGAGTCTCGTTAACAGCAAACAGAAAACATCAGATTCAATTAAAAATAGAAAATAAGCAAATAGGAACAGCTTAAATCAACACGGATTATGGATAAAACTGGTGTGAAACGACTACCTTTTTTGCCATTGAATAAGTTATGTACAGTACACCACAATGAAAGAGAGAGCCCACAGGGTACAAATTAACGCTTGCGTGCAACGTTTGCCATAAACGTTGCTATAAATTTCTCTATTAACTTAACGCCTGATAATAAACCTCTGTGTTATTCATAATTCTTCATATCACAATCACTCGCATTAAATTGCAGGTAGCCCAAGCTCGAAATATGAGCATCGGCATTGTTGGTTAACATTCGAAATACAACAGAAATATAACGATTTGTATTTTTCTGTAACCTACGAAAATAAAAGGATTTTAATCCAAAAAATAGCTGACGTTACTTAAAATGTGTTATTTGTCTCCTGTGTGGTTCACGACCGATTTATGGCTATTTTATGGGTAGTAATGTAAGTGGTTTTCTTCTCTGATATATTATACAGAGAAAACCGTTTACATTACATAAAGAAACGGCCATAAATTGGCCCTTCGTAGGTTACCAAAACGATAGTCTTTTTTTCTCATTAACTGCTTATATTTCCGTCGTATTTCGAATTTTACGCCACAATGCCAATGCTCGTATTTTGAGCTTGGGCTACCTGTGATGGTTTGATGGTATCTTACTATCACACTGAGGCCACTCAAGGTCGGCCAGGGCTCATGATTTTACGATAAACAATATTCACGTTCCTTGAAATCAGGTGTAGGTCTCTTTAAACTATAGGTATATTGAAAAATGAATACATTGGTCATTTTGGTGGTTTTTTACTTTTATACGTTGGTATACTTTTCCTTCTTGGCCCACCAACCTTGGCCACTGGTCAACGGTGCACTCTGATATAACTCCCCTAGTGCATGAATCCCACCAACGGACAACTTGTTAAAAATAAAAAACAGTAAAAACAATTCTTCACCTCTGAAAACAAAAAAAGCAAAACAAAGAAACGAAAAAAGAAACATTTAAATATTGCACCTTATTTCAGACAACTACCCTTGTTATTTGAGCTGCAAAACACCGAATTTTCTTTTCAATTCAACTCGTTAATGATCTTATCTATAAACAAAAATCCTGGAAATCTGCGAAACAATGAATTCAGCTTGTATGAGAAATCAGAGTGAATTTCAAGCAATGTAAAAATCATGCAACTTGCTACGGGGTTAGTATAGTTATTTACGATAACTGATTTGGTTTGATTTCAAGTGACTTATCCGTCACCTGTGAAAGTCAAAAATTTGACATTTTTAGCATTAGGACTTCGTCAAGCCCTCAGAAAGTCAGCTCCAATCTTTTCTGAAAAGAAGGTGCATTAATTTTTTTACAACACAGTAGCTAACGTCGCTGATACTATAAACTTTTGTGATTTTTTCTCCACAACGCATTACAGTTAGTTTCCTAACCCCTTGCGACACTGTTCTTTTTAATCAGTTAAAACCATTGCTTCGATAATATTGTCCCTTAACAGAAAATATGTCAGTTAGGTAGTCCCAACCTATTAGAGGGTATTGGTTACAAGTGGAGTTTCAAAGCTCAAACAACAGCTCTAAGGATTCTAGGGTAGTGCCTGGCTGCTGTTGTTGAATTTCGTGCTAGGGTCGTTATAGTTCCACAAAAATTCCACAGTTTGTGGAATATCGTGGAGTGCAATGAAAAAGACCCGTGGATGCCACGTGTTCTTATTAGTCACATATGGCTACAGGTTTCCATGCCTTAAAGAGTGGTTAATGCAGGCCGCCCATGGTATCTCTAGTTCTAGATTAGGGACCTTAAACACCGGACAAAGCTATGACGTGGACGTGACACCATTACCGAAAAAAACTGGGAACAAGAACGTCGTCGGTCACGTCACTTGTTAACATTAAGCCAACATCACTAAAATGAATACGTGGACAAAAGTAGTAAGTGACATGTGTGTTTATTAAATAGCATCGTTTAAAGAGACTAGAAACTTCGTTTTGGAATGTTATGTTGATGGAATTATTGATGGAGACGATTTTATGCTCCTCTACGACATTAATGTTAAATTCCGTATTTTAATGCTTTACAATCACGATGTTATAAGATTACAACAAAAACCGACCATAAGTTCAACACGCTTCTCTGGTCTTCCAACACTCATAACTGAGCACGCATGGTATTATGGGATGTCCAATACATAAACTTGCTGTTAACTCAAACATCTGGTTTTAATACGCTACATCCCTCCTTTGTTTTGTTTTTTTTAGAGCAGAATGAAAAGTCCAAAATGAAACGAGAACGAAGACTTAAATACTGGATAAAGAAATTAAGTTCAGTTCCATAACATGATAAACAGGGTACAGCTGTAAGACGCTCCACGAGTGACAAAGTCCAGTCAAGCCTTTGACAGTTCATAATCATCAAATCGTTTAGGAAGTGTTATAGTTCGAGTTGGTCTCGGGCTTGCTTTAAGCATAGGTGAACTTGGGTTAACTGTCTGCTGCACCGAAATTGGGCTAGCAAATGGCTGGCTAGCGATTGGCTGGCTAGTAATTGGCTGAAGTGGTGTCACTGATTCTAATGGGTTAGCAATTGGCTGAAGTGGTACCACTGATTCTGATTCTGTAGTACCATTCTCCTGGTATTTCTTAACAAATGACACATTCCGTTTTACTTCCACACCATCTTTCTTCCTTAATGTGACTTCTCCTCTATTTCTGTTTATGACTTCACAAGGACTGGGGTCATAGTTTGGAGAAAGTTTGTTTATTTTGGTGTTTCTCAATAATACTTAATCTCCAACTTCCACTTGACTCTCAACTGTATGTCTCTTTGTGTCCACGTAATCTTTCTGTCAGCTTTCTTGCCCAGTCTCAGTCACGAATTTCTTCATTGGTGATGGGTGCCTCACGTCTCAACTCTGGTAACTTTGACCGCATTTCTCTCCCGAACATTAAGAAGAATGGTGCCACACCAGTTGTCATTGTGGGAGTGGACCTGTGCGCAGTTAAAAATTTGTGAAGCTCTTGTCGCCAATCTTTTCCTTCAATTTGAGCTACCCTGATCACTTTCAACAAAGTGCGGTTTTGACGTTCTACCTCGCCATTCGCTTGGGGCCACAGAGGGGGAGTTGTTCGGTGCTCTACTCCGTTTTCCACAAGGAAGGCTTTAATCTCCTCTGAAATGAACTGAGGACCATTGTCCGTTTTAAGTATGTGGGGAACTCCAAAACGAGCAAATATTGGCTGGAGGCTGTTGATGACCTTTGTGCTTGTAGTTGACCTCAGGATAACTACTTCAAAATATCTGCTATAATAGTCCACTACAACAAGTAAATTCTCTCCAGAGGGTAAAGGACCCAATATGTCTGCAGCACAATCTTGCCACGGTCCGCTCGGTGGGTAAGCTCATGCCATAGGTTCTGGACGGGAATATTTGCTGACAGCTTGACAGCCATGACAACTCTTGCATAATATTTCCGCATCCGCCTCTACTTTGGGCCACCACACCTTACTATGCAGTCTGCACTTTGTTTTCACAATTCCTTGATGTCATTCATAAGCCAATTACAGGACATGCTCCCGTAACACTTGGGCAATTACAATTCTCAAACCACGCAGCAGTAACTGACCATAAGAGCACAGTTCATTCTTGACGTGTAAATAGGCAGGTATAGTACAAGCACTCCAGTCTCCTGTACGCACACATTCTTTCACAAGGCTTATTTCTGGGTCTGCAGCTGAATCTTTCTCAATCTCCGAGGGTGTCAGAGCACAGGGAGTGCTATTCTCAACTAAGCTGCCAACGTAGTCATGGTGTTCTCCTTCACCACAGGGTACTCTACGATTCAGCCTTGACAACGCATCTGCAATGTTGGTTCTTCCTGGTCTGTAGATGACCTTAAAGTCATAGGCTTGCAAGTGGAGAACCAAACGTTCTACACGAGTGGAAGGCTTTGATTTCTGTGAATATATGTATTCCAGCGGTTTATGATCTGTTTCTAGTTCAAAATCCGTTCCAAAAATGTACATGTTAACCCTTTAAGCCCCAGTATCATACTACAAATTTTCCAAACTGACATCCATACATTCCTTAAAAAATTAGTTGAGAGAATTTTGATTTAAGATGAAAGACTTTTCTCTTTGTGATCATTTTATTAATTCTCATAGACTTTGCTCTTGACAATCTATGGATTTTGTTAGGAGAAAATTGATGTTGGTCACTATTGGGACTTAAAGGGTTAAAGCCTTCGCAAGCCCATACCAGTGCCAGGGCTTCTCTCTCTGTCTGGCTGTACCTCCTTTCTACATCTGTTAGACCTCTTGAAGCATAAGCAATAACCCTCCACTCAACCCCTTGCAACTGAATCAACACCGCACCCAAACCAACAGGTGATGCATCTGCCACAGTCCTTGTCTTACTGTTTACATCAAAGTAAGCCAATGCAGTTGTACTTGTGATCAGTTCCTTTAACTTGTCAAATGCAGCCTGTTGTTCCGACTGCCATTTGAACTCCACATTCTTGTGAGTTAGTCTCTGGATAGGCTCTGCAACAGTGGACAGGTCTGGGATGAACTTAGACACAAACTGAGCCAGACCCAGGAATGATCGTGCCTTGCTGGCATTCTGTGGTGGATCTGCATTCCGGATTGCAGCAACCTTCTCCTCACTAGGTTCTAACCCATTCTGTGTCACTTGATGACCAAAGAATGTCAACCTTCGTAACCTGAACTCACATTTGTCCCCATTCAATGTCAAACCCACCTCCCTTAACCGATTGAGCACAACAAAAAGCCTCTCATCATGCTGCTCAACACCATTACCATGAATAACTAGGTCATCCGCAATATTGATGACCCCTTCACAACCACGCAATACATCCCGGATGATTTGTTGATATTTTTCGGGAGCTGAGGTCACCCCAAACATGAAACGGGTGTATCTGTAAAGACCGCAGTGAGTCACAAATGTTGTCATATGCCTACTCTCCTCTGCAAAAAGTATCTGATGGAACCCCCACGTCAGGTCTACACGGCTAAATACTGTGCTGCCATTCAAGTCTTGGAGGACTTCTTCAACTGTGGGGATAGGCTGACGTTCTCTAATGATTGCTTGATTGGCACGCCTCATGTCAATGCAGATTCTAACATCACTATCTGGTTTGGGTACAACAACAAGCGGGGAGACCCAACAGGTTGGTCCCTCTGGTACTTCTTCTATGATCTCACAAGTCAGCAACTCATCTAACACTGTCACAGGTTAGCTAGAAACAAGCTATCTTTGCCAAGTGGTTTGTGTGGCACACCTAGGGCATTTAAGGTTAAGTACATTTCATTATATTAATTGCATTTTCGTTTGTTTTTGTTTTGTTCACTTTTGAGCATGATATAGAGGTACAGTGAAACCTCCTCAATACGGACACCAAAGGGACAGAACCAACTGTCCGCTTTACAGAGGTGTCCGTATTATGGAGGTAGGGAATGTATGATTTTTGGCATTTCTGGGACCCAACGAACTGTCCGTAATAGAGAGGTGTCCGTATTATGGAGGTGTCCGTAAGAGGAGGTCAGACTGTAATTTCTTTTAAATAATGTGTGATCCTACCTGTCTCTTACCTACCTTTTGTCTACTCTAATTGGGACATCGATATCCTTTACAGCAACAAGGGCTTCAGCAATTGCTGCCCACTTAGCACTCCTCTGAGTGGTTCCCTTTTTTATATCGGTAAATGGGTCAGTTATAATTTCTCTGCATAACAATATATCATGCTTTTCTGTCCACACTATGTTCCTTTTGACACTAAAACGAAAATGCAAACAAAAGTTTTATTCTATGCAATATAGTCACAGTCTGGCTAGCCAGTGGTTTGTTATTGCACCGTAGCGTAACCTAAAATGAATACACTAGAAAAGAAACGAAAGTCATAATGCTTACACACATAAAGGTATGCATCACATTCATGTACACTGAGTAGTTTACAACAGTTGTAAAAAAAGTAATTTGTGTAGATTATAATCTATTCGTGCGGTTGCAAGAAATAGCTAGCGATTCTCAAACTACGAACGTAATGCGAAATTATTAAACGGGAACAACACTTTCATTTAACTGAAGGCCAGCCGAAAAACAATAAATACATGAGAGGTTATTTTGCGCATTACATAACTCGGAAGTTTCGTATAGATGAGCAAGAAAATTCGAAAAGCGCTAGTTACAATAATTTACAATGGTTTCTTTCTCCTTTCAAAACTACATATCATTTGTTTAAATTAAGACAGCCATTAAAACACTAAATGATAACTAGACATTTTGGCGATGCCTAAACATAGGAAACATTAAGCAAACCTTGGAGGACAAGAAGTGCTTTTCACGGATGAATTCTCCGCCATAATTTTCGGCACAGCTAAAAAGTAAACAAACATTGAGGGTCCGTTTTCAACGCAATAATTGAGTTACATGGATTTATGTCGATAGATCAACATTCGTTAGTATTAATCATCGGTTCTGTTCAGGTTTTTCTTACCTTAAGAAAACTTACTATCAAAACATTAACTGTCGTTTCGACGAAACGGGACTTGCACTTCCGGTCTACGTCTGCGTCATAGATTTGTCCGGTGCTTAAGGTCCCTGAAAAAAAAAAGAATGCAGTTAACTGTTATTTTGTAGCAGGAACTCAAACACTTTCAACCTTGCAACCAAGATGCTATTGAAATGCTACATGTACTTACACTACTTGTGCCCTGCGCTCTCGATAACCATAATAGTGCAGGGCCTCCCTTCCTCGGCGTACATCTCCTCTCTCCTAGCGGCTTCCTCCATTTCCACCCTTTCTCCATCGTATTCTACCACCACCTCTCCTCTCTCGATATCCCTGCCAGTGAATGCACAAATTCCGGCATTTCGGGAATTGCTTGGTACTGAATGTAACTATCATAAAGAAATAGCACAAAGAATAAGCTGTTTCAAGAGATGCTATTTCAAGAGAGAATCATTCTCTCTTGACTATTCTTTGCCATATACAAAGACCTTAGAACAGATCACTTAAGTTCTTTTATATCTGAATTCACTATTTTTCATATCAAACTCTTTCCCCTTTGCGACGAACATTTGTTTTTCCCGGTTCCAGGCGGACTCGGCCGCTAACTGCACGTAATGCGCATACTCAACGCAGCGGATTTTCAAAATGGCGGACAGGCCAAAGGGAGAAATAAAAGAACCAAAGTGGTTTTACAACGAATTCTCGGCATACACCCCCGTGAAAAAGGCTAATCCACAGAGAAAAGATACAAAGCTCTACGATATTGTAGTTACGGAGGTTGATAAAGCCAACAAAATATTGAAAATCCACTATGTTGGGTACAGCTCACGCTTCGATGAGTGGAGACCTTTCGGGGACGATGAAGGATCTGAATATTTCCCGTTTGTTCGTAAAGAAAAGCGTTTATTCCATCCGAAAATTCCCTTGTGGATAGACCACAAACATTTCACGGTCAACTTTTTCGTGAAATAAAGAAAAAGCTTTGGTCTGGGCGGCGAGAGGACCCTGAAATCAGCATAGACTTCATTGTTGATCAGGATGTTTTTATAGAAGGTCTTGGAAGTGTTTTGCCTGAGGAAAAATGGTTTACCAAGTAAAGTCAAATAGGATGCTTGATCCCTTTCTTGGAATGAAGTGGGACGAAAGAATTTTAAATCCAGCTGGAGATTTTGCCTATGTAATTTCAGGAACAATAAAGTATTGGCTGGGACAAAGAAATCCAATTACCAAATACAAAATCATTGGGGAGCAGTATATGAAATCTGAAATTGAAAACAGCCATGTTATTACATTTCAGTTTGTGAGAGGTGACGGTAACAGGAACAACTACCAAGCAAACATGTAAAATATCAAGCCATTGTTTTGTAACTGTGCCATGGAACTAATTCTGGATTTTTAGTCATGGCCAAATCATTTAACACTTGTAGCATCTTGTAACTATCAACTTGTTTATGTTTGTCAGACTGGAACTTTTTATGATTGCCTTGTTGATGTTTTTGGTTAAGATTTCAACAGTTAAGTGTAATGTTAGTGACGCTGGCATCTGGGCATCCATTTGCCATCTTCCTTCACAAGACGTGCACAGCAAATCCCAGCTGTACAATGTTTACATGGTGATTTGCATGTCTTAATGCTGTGGCCTTGTTTTGAACAGTTACCACATTCATAATTGTTCTTAGCCCTCTCATAGCCTGCTGCTTCCAAGAACTGAATCCTGTTTTTCTTCAGAAAGAGCTGTTTAAGTGCATCAATTCCTTTGTGATTTGTGGATCTGAAAAAGTCTTTAGAAGCTCTATCCTTTTATTTTTCCAAACCTTGTTGAGTGTAATATGCAATGTTTTGATACAGTGACAGGAATTCAGGAACATGGCAATGTAGTGCATGCATGTAGGGGGTCACATCTTTTGCTTGGTACACATTGAGAAAGAGTCCAAACCACGATTTGACATCTCCTTGCAGTTGAAGAAGGTCATCCTCCGATGTAAAATCTAGTTTCAAATCACCAATTAACTCCATAAATTTTTGCTACATCACTTGTATTTCTTTGTTTTGACTGTACCAAGGAAGAAGCGTAGGAATGTTAATATTCTGAAACAGTTTCAATTTTTCTGGTCCAGTAAGATCTCTATATTCCAGCTTTTTACTCTCTTTATTGATTCTAAAATTAAAAGAGATTCCAATGCTTTTGACGAATTCCTCATAACTTGCCATGTGTTTATACTTATCTCTTGGGAAGCCGTCAGAACTTTCGGAAAGTTTTCTTTTTTTCGATAGCATCACTTCCTCTCAACTCTCTTATGAGCAGGTCAATTAAAACATCTGAGATCCTCAGGAAAAGATGTAATGTATCTATAATAACATGATCCATTGGTATAAAATCAAATAATGGTCTTGCCTTTTAGTTGAATTTTTTTCCGATGGAAAACCTTGCTATTTCGTCGATAGTTGTGGCACCAAATGTGGGGTCACTGATTGACCACTTTTTGCTTGTGTCCCATCGTTACTGCTTGGGACACTTGCACCACACGCAAGCATAATCCTCATTTGCCCTACGTAGTCCACAGATCAGAGCTAAAAATTTCCAGTCACCACCTAAAAAGTATTCAATTTGATAGGTGCAATTATTTACACTTATCTCCTTTAAGTTTGACATTTCCATTCGAAGGTCAGCAAGGCTCTCTCTTATATGATCATATGTCTCTGTAGTTTTTATAAGAGCAAGTACATATTTACCTTTCTCACCCATTGCCAGTTCCTTTTCATTCAGAATAGTAAAAGTGAAATTGACAACTGTAAGCCTCTTTCTGATATTTGTTCCATCACCGCTAAGTTTGATCTTAATAGTTTCCCCATCTTTGATCTCTCCAGTTTGCTGAAGCTTCACAATGTGTTCTTGCAAACTGTCAGAAAATCCTAACTGAACACCCTCAGTATCTCCTGGAGTTGGTTTCAGGTTCCACTTACTGTTTAGTTCCTTGATTCGCTTCTTGATGGAATAGGTATTGAGAACACCATTGGCTTTCATGGCAATTTCATGCCAGGCCTCATTTGAAATATTGAACTTATCTTTCAGATACAGCCACATATTTATGTTATCAAGGTCATCATTAGTAAGTTCCTTTGGGTCAGAATCTGTGAATGTCAGTTCTCCCTCCCCAACAAGATTGAAAGTTTCATATTGATTATTATCGGTGTTAAGCACTTCAATTTTGGTAGCAATAAAATTGTAGAGCCCAAGAAAGGACAATGTGGTTTGGCATTCTTCCTTCAACTGGTTTTTCATTCTCTTCTGGTGGTGCTTGGAATAATCATGAAACTTCTTGTCAGAAGGGCCTCTACCTTTCTTCCCATTTTTGATCACTTTTTTGGCCAATTGCACAAAATTTTTCTCGTAGAAGGCCCCTTTTTTTCTCAGCTTTCTCGAGAGCTTCTTGGGCTTTTTATCACCTTGCAATCGCTTTGCCTTCTCCTGTACTAGTGATTCCTCTAAAACTCTTTTCTCTCCCCTTAACTTGCTGTTTTCATCTTTTAGCTGAACCACATCAACCTCGTTATAATACACCTTAAATGAATAGCAACGACCGGTTCTCAACTTTGTGAGAAGTGCATTTAATTGCCTTCCGCCACACTTACTTGCTTTCTTGACTACTTTCTCTGGGCAGAATATTTTTTTCCGGAAAACTTCTAAAATGCGGCTATTTATTATTATGGCGTGTATGCCTGATTGATCTAACACTTTGTTGATGATGGCCAAGAGAACCGACTGATAATTTTCTCCATCTTCCTTTTCCCTTTCCTTTGAGACTGTATAGATTAGAAGGCTGCAACGAAATTTCAAAGGACGAATCTTATCAAACGAAAAACCCGCAAACTAGCCAAAAAAGGTATTTATTTTGCTAAACAAACACTTCACACGTCTTACTTGTTTATCTTGAATGTAAATGACGGAATATTAGTCCCCGAAGCATTTTCCGAGCTTCCAGATACCTCTCCTACTGCTTTCACGATTACAAAACTGTAAAAAAAACACAAGGAGGAAGATGTAGCTGTATTGAACAGCCATTTGACGGGCTCAAATCTGCTTTTTGTTCGACAATTTACATATCAAAACCAAGGACATTTGTTCCTCTTTTTGATTTTGGCGGTACACTTTCAATTTGCACTTGCGCAAAAGAAATATTGTCCGAGATTCCTTGCTCGGTCGTGTTTTGATCAGAGACGCCTTGCAATTTTGACCAAACCGCTCGAGGAAAAGGTAGAAATGACGAGGGAAAAACTTAACTCTAAAGTTAGAAAACTACTCAGATACAAAGTAATAATATTATAGTTTAATATTCCAGCAGTACATTGAGTATTTTTTTAGCAGAGAATCGGCACGATAAAAAAATATCTGAAAATCGCACTGGATGTGAGTGGAGCGCGGAAAGGGGCGTGGTCGAAAATTAATTAAAGACTATTTGTACCCCTATGAGTTTCATATTTTGTTTTCAAGAATAGGCAATAATTGCATCCCAACGAAACAAGTGAACCCCCTAATTCCCTCACTCGAAGCTGCATCCTTTTTTAACTGTTCTCCAGTTTTAGTTTAAGACCATTTCAGGTCTGGGTAAAACAGTTATCATGATTTCAATTAAACATGTCCGGATTAGTGTGTAAGGGGCTTTGTATTATTCCAAAAAACAAAACAAAATTACCTCGATGGGAGGGAGAGGCGGTGGGTTTATCCTCATAAAGTTTGCAATCCTTTCCAACATCTGTCTTCCGGCAAATTCAAAACTGGGCTGTCTCCTCAGGGCTCTTTTGATGGAAAGTCCCTCGTATCCCCTTTGTCCACCTCTCTTCCTTTTTCTCACATCATCCCACCCCAAACCCGAGATGACCTTATTAAGTTGCTGTAAATAGGAAAATAAAAGAGTCCCCGGCAATAGGGAATAGAAATCTATGTAGAAATTAAAATGATAAAATTGTCATTAAAATGCTATTGCCCCTGCACATGATATTTCCCTTCAGTGGCGCCGTAAACGGTCTAAGTCATTCGTGAGAATGCCAAAAATTTTAAACGTCATCCTCATGCTTTGCGTTTTTGTACATGGTCATGCATATGTTTTTCTTTTTTGCAACAAAGAAGTTTTGGCTATTACAATGAAAACCTCAGGCCATTGAAAAGAAAACCTCAGGCTGAACGGTATTCACAAACAAATGAAATGAAATCGAACATAGTAAGAGCCAATATCGAAAAAAAATTGGACCACCTGGTATCGACAACAGCTAGTATCACTGAACTTTTCTCCACAGAGTGTCAGACTAATTTGACTTTGAAATCAAAACAGTTTAACACACCACGGAAAATGTTAGTCATGCTGTTCATCAAACAATTTTATTACTTGGTTGCTTGTTTTCCTTTTTGAGAATGGAAAAGGACAGGGAAAGATGTTACTTCAAATACCTTTTCGCATTGTCTATGACATTTTGTTTGAACAAATGATCGGTGGCCAAAGTATGAGGAGTCCCTGCTTATAGGTAAGCTCTTAAATTTATTCGCGCTGTGTTCATTTTCCTGCACGTCTGTGCTTTAAAATAATCCTTCGCACCTTAACTGGTTCGGACAAGGCTGAAGCTTGCGCCAAAATGGTATACATATGCATGGAAAAGCCAGTCAAGCCAGCATGGGAAAGGGACTTTTTTGCTCAAAATTTTCTAACATTGTCTAAATAAGGTTTTGGGTCCGGGTGAAAATGATCACAGAAGAAATTCTGATAATCTCCAGTTTTCACAGAAAGACGAACATTTCGCAGAAAAGCTGTTAAAACCTTATACAGTAAAACCCTGCACTTAATAGCCTGCGAAAATGGGTGTTTCCCCTCGCTCTTAATCTGGATCAGTTAAGAACCTCCAGCTGTTAGACTAAAATTTGCCAGGTAAGCCCCCTCTATATAAGAACCCGTTTAGCCTAAAATTCAGCTAAAACAGGTTGTTAATTTATAAAATCTATGAAAATATTGTGTCGATTGGGCAAATATCGGTGCCTTATCACTTTAACTGCAACGTAATAGTAGGAAAGTTTTATTTGAGGAATAAGCTTTGCTGAACCACTGAATACTCTTAGTTATGTAGAAAATAAGAACCTATTTTAAAACCGGAATAAGCTGAACTTTGTGCTAACTACCATTTATATGAGAACCTGTTCAGGCTAACATGGAATAATCCGTGATCTTTAGGATCTTAGTCACGGGGCTTTCCTTTATTTTAATATCTTTTCGACCAAAAATGATGCCGTTTAAATTTGGAGCAAGAGACCATAGGTCTTATTTGGAGACAAAGAATATCGCCTTAATGGCCTTTGGTGACTCAAAAATGATTATTAGTCAAACGGAGTGTACCTGGGGTCCCTTTTCTGCAATTTCCCTACAAACTTTGTGGGACCTGAAATCAGAGAAAATCCAAAGAACAAATGTGTCGGTTCTAGCTAACAAAAAAGATTATTTTGATTTGTCAAATAATTGGCTTGAATATCTCTTAATCTAATCCTCAGGACTTGTAAAACATTTTTTGAAACAACAGAACCGCAGGAGTGTTGTTATCAGGAAGTTTGAGAAATGGGCGCCTTGGCTGTTGTCATGCATTGTTGTTGTGACTTTGTGGTTGGTTGATGATTTTGTGCGCGCTCCTGTCAAAGTGCCCAGGGAGAGCTCAAGCAAAGTGTTGTTGTTGTTGTTCGCTGTGCAACCAGTTCCAGTTTGGAATCTTTCGCTGTGGCAGTGAGAAGTAAGAAACTCTTAGTAGCCTTCAGTTACAAATCAGTCTGGTATAAAGTTAATGATAAGAAAAACGTTCATTTTAATGAGTAGCTGCAAATACGTAGCACTCTTGCCGGCACAAATTCTTGAATGAATGCTTACGCTGGGAAGAGACACGGACATTTAAGCATAAAACAATTTAGAAATGCCTTCGCTTCACCATTTTTTTTGCTCTGATAAAAGAGGAGGCAGCTAAATGTCCTTGAAAAAGCATTATTGTGACTTCTATCACTTTGCTCTGTTGTTGGTTTATCTGTGTGCATGGTATCGTGTGTTTTTTTATTTCTCTCTCGGTTACTGATTAACGCAGGCTTCTTTTACTCAAGACCCAGTACTTAGGCTAATATCAAGTCTAAAAGACGTTTGTTTAATTTTTCTATTTATATGTTTTGTTTATATGCTTTTGCAAGTCGAAGATCTAGAGACTATCTGTACGCAGTAGAAACCTAATACTTACTCCATTGTATAAAAATTCTTGTAAACGAAATGATCCCACCAATTATCGACCAATATCGGTGATCCCAGTCGTGGCCAAAGTATTTGAACGGGTAGTCTACGACCAGTTGTATCACTATCTTACTGAGAATCGTATTCTATCCCGTTACCAATCTGGTTTTCGTTCTTTACATTCTACTGTAACCGCATTACTCGAAGCTACCGATAGCTGGGCAGTGAACGTTGATCGTGGCCTTGTCAATGCCGTTGTCTTCTTAGACTTAAAAAAGGCTTTCGACACAGTTGATCATCATATCTTATTAACGAAATTACAATATTATGGATTACGCGGTTCCTGTCACGAATGGTTTACTTCGTATTTAAACAATCGTACCCAAACTTGCCAAATTAATTGCTCAATGTCAAACCCAAAATTAGTTACATGTGGTGTTCCCCAGGGAACAATTCTTGGACCTTTATTGTTTTTACTGTATATTAATGACCTACCTAATTGCTTGCATTTTTCACAACCTAGAATGTATGCCGATGACACCAGCCTAACCTATGCCAGCGCAGATTTAAAACTCATAAATGACTGCGTTAACGACGATTTAAACAAGGTGTATATATGGCTATCGGCTAACAAACTGACCCTTAACTTGACTAAAACTGAGTTTATGTTAGTTGGGTCGAGGCAGAAGCTATCAAAGCTTTCTGAAACTCCTTCTTTTATGATAAACGACCATCCCGTGATGCAAGTGTCAACGGCAAAATCTCTTGGAGTGCATATTGACCAAAACTTAAGCTGGGAATGCCACATACAGAGTATTTGTAAAAAGATTGCTTCTGCTTTGGGTGCAATTAAAAGAATACGACATCTTATTCCTTTTAATGTATTAATTAATGTTTACGACAGTTTAATTCAACCGCATTTTGATTACTGTAATGTCGTATGGAGCAACTGCGGCATTGGTCTTTCCAATAAGCTGCAGAGGCTCCAAAATCGTGCAGCCCGTATTCTAATGTCCGCTAATTCTGATTGTAATGTGGACGATTTGTTCCTGGCACTGGGTTGGCATAAGCTTAAACACCAAAGACAAGTATCGACGGCTATTATGATGTATAAAACCGTACATGGGATGACTCCCGACTATCTAACATCTAAATTTGTATCTCATGACAAAATAACTTCTTATCGATTGAGGAATACTGAAAATAAATTGGTCCTTCCACTGCCCCGTACCAATTATTTAAAGAAAATTTTCTCCTGTAGCGGAGCTAAGCTGTGGAACAGCCTATCCCATGATTTAAGATCTGCAGATTCTTTACATGATTTTAAACGCAAACTGTGTCGCAACAGTTTTGAATGAGATTATGCATTAATACAGTTTTACACGGCATCCTTGAAAAGCAGCTTTTATTTGTAAATAGCTAGGTAGTTAAAATTTTATGAATATATTTTTAATCAGAGTTAGTTTAGTTAGGTATTATAGATCTTATATTTTTTGTACATGCTGAAGGAATTTTAACCGTGTTTAAATAAAGTTATCTATCTATCTATCTATACTACACCTACAGTTTATCTGATAGATGTTTGGGAAGGTAGAAAGTTTGGACCAGATCGATACTTTACATGGAAGACAAATTGGAACTCAGTTGTCTGGCAAATGTGTCAATGATTCAAGTCCACGTTTTGTACCTGCCGTTAAAGTTTTCCTGGTCGACAAAAACTTGAAAGAAAATTGAACGAAAATTTGAATGTTGATCCAATTGTGTGTTTTATATCTGAAAGATTTCTTGTCGTCTTTCTGAGAAATTTCGTGGTTAGTGTACAATTCGATGTCTTAACAGTTCATCAAGTT